AAGGCCCACATATATGTTACTGAAACATCAATACTCACTAATGCTTTGAACCAAAACTACTCTATTTATGCGGTGAAACAAAGGATCTTTCAATTGTAAATAATTTAACAATTTTGAGAACAATTTTCAGCTGACAAATAGTAATCTGGAAAATATCAAGACCATCATAAGTACTACTATCCTCCTMATAAACAATTATGCCTCTAATTTTAGTCACATGTAGTTGTTTTGCAAGGATGCATCAGAGTGGCAGGGTTTTGATGGAGGTTTCTGCAGTATCATACAGATTGGAAGCAATGGCAGTAAATTTTCATCTAATTCAGGTGTTTGCTGGCCACCTTTTACTTCAGTGGATTACTGACCCTGATCKTCACTAGTACACCTCTCACTCCCTAACTGTGTGTGGGGTGGTTCTCTTGTGGAATTCTTTCTAACCACTTCTTAAATCTCATTGTGGGAACAGAGAAATGGAGATCTTCATGGTGCTGACACTCTCTCTCAGAAATGAGCATTGAAACAACAACACTGGACAATAACAAAAGTCCACAACAATGTCCCTATCATGCTCACATATTCCCAAAAGATCCCAAGACATTCCCATCTGAAGCAAAAAAAANAACACTGGACAATAACAAAAGTCCACAACAATGTCCCTATCATGCTCACATATTCCCAAAAGATCCCAAGACATTCCCATCTGAAGCAAAAAAAAAATTCTAACTTATTACCCCCAAGGAGGATTATATGATGAGAAAACTATTTATCTAAGCATCAGCAAAACATCTGCCATACTATCCGTCTCCAACACACACCCTATAACATAGTATTTTTCCTCCTTGTCTCATAGTGAACAAACAAGGGAGAATGTCACACAAGAGTTCCTGCTCTTTGACCCATACTCCAAAAAGAAATGACACAAACAAACTTCAGTCGTGTCAAATACTTTTTTGGCCCCTCCTGCTACTTCTTCCTGGACACTTGTTCAAACCACACTGGTGACTCAATTTGTCTTTTACACCAGAAATTGAAATACTACTATAAATTTACCCTGCTGGTTGCACCTCCTCCACCACATCCACTCCTCTGAGCAGCTAGTAGTAGGAGCATTCTTCTTGTTCTCAACAGAACAAGTTAGTAGTAGTACTAGTAGGAGTATGGTTCAGGCCCACACCATAGCATCTCGTCTACTTCTAGTTCAGGTGGTTAAATATAGTAGTGGTAATATTAAGATTTTTGACATCTTGTTATCTACTACTACTAGTACTACTAGATGCAACAAGATGGTGGCATGATATGAACAAATCTAGTAGTACTACTGCAAGAGCAGGCACCAATACTAGTAGTTGTTGTACTACTACTATGTCACAGCAGCAGCAACAAGAAGAAGAAGAAGAACAACATCAGCAAGCTTGAATCAATTTTCTTTGAGAAAGTTGATGACACTTTGCTACTGGTACAGTTTGTTGCGGAATTTCATAGTTTTCCTTTGCCCCCCTCACGAAACAATTCACTTGAACTAACACCTGCGCTGCATAGTAGTACGTAGAGTTACTACTACTAAGTACAATTCCCATGCTGGCAAGTTATTGGCAATCCCCGTACAAATACTAATAGAAATTTTTAGCTCATTTTTACAGTTAAATCCATTTAAAAATGGCATCCAACGGACGAAAATAAAAATATTTCCATTGTTTGATTTCTCGCTGGTCCCAAAATATTTCTATTAGTGGTCCTTGTTACTACTGGGGATATCGTATAGCGTGGGCCACGCGTTTCCG